TACATGGAGTTGAAATCATTCAACACATTGCAAACAAGTGAATTTAGCAATCCCATAGATGTTTTGAAGCATTTAAAAGAACTTGGTTGTTACCAGAATGCTTGCATTGCATATAGAATTTTGTTGACTGTTCCAGTAACGGTGGCATCTGCAGAGTGAAGTTTTTCCAAATTGAAGCTCTTGAAATCTTACTTACGGTCTACAATGTCCCAAGATAGACTTAGTGGATTGGCGGTAATAGCTATCGAGAATGAAATCTTAGAGAGCATAGACTGTGAAGATGTGATCAACCAATTTGCTCTCAAGAATGCAAGGAGAACTTCTCGAATCCTCGGCTAGCTTTTACGGTATGTAATTATAACACTTTAATTATGTCATTTATTTTTTTCTTTTAATAATATTGCGTTATTTATTATTTAGATATAATTAGTTTACGTATGTGAATTTTTTAGATCATTAAATAAAAGATTTTTTGGGCCTTTTTTTTGTTTCGGCCCAGGCTGATGAATCCTCAGGACCGGCCCTGGAGAGGCTGTTTCCAAAGAGACCCCCGGCTCAACGTCGAAAGTTGCATTGCTTGACTAACTGCTACTTCATTAATTAAAAAAGCGCAGACAGTTTAAAGATCCATTTTGATTTATTCCATCACACCCCAAAGCCAAAAAATGGTGAAATTTTGGCTCAATCGGAGATGTGGACTAAGTGCGAGAGAGTATAGTTTTTAAATTTATTTTGAGAATCCTTTTCTTTAAGCAAACAATCTCACTAGAGGTGCTCAGATGGTAAGACAAAATTTAAGCATTAACCATCCCTTTAGTCATTCTTAATCCTCAAGTTCCATTTTTTTTTGATAAGTCCATTAAAACACAAATTGAGTACCCCTACTTCTTGAAAATAGAAAAATTAATAAGACATGAGGTTAGAGTACTTACTTGATCATCTTAATGTCCATATGAATACAACAATATTCTCAAGCGATCATAGCTTTAGAAGCTGAACGTGTTTAGCCATTTGCACCTAAAAGTGCGCATTGCTTGTTTGCCAAAGAGATGAGTAAGTTCTGGGCAGGGGCGAGGGTCTGCAATCTGAATCTGTTTAGCCATTCGCACCTAAAAGTGCAGCATTTTTTTTCTTTTGAAGCGAGCCATTTTTTTTCTTTTTTGTTTTTGAGGTTTTTTTTTTAGGTTTTTTTTTGTTAGGCGTGTTGTAGCACCTGCAAATTAATTTATTATTTCCTTTACATTTGTTTATTTACATTAATCAATGATGGGCCAAATAGATTTCTAGGCTTGGCCCATTCTCCACTTTCTTCTATTGCTTTGGTTCTCCAAAATATATCTGAAAATATATCAAGAAGAAATAATAATCCAAAATAATTGTAGAATACAAATATGGTTAAAATATGCATTTTATGTATAAAATATAAATAGGAGCCTAAAATGCTAAATAGAACAAAATGTGATTATTTAGGTATAAAATGCATATTAAATATCTTAAAAGTACTAATAAATGATAGAATAAAATATGACATTTTGTGACTTAACAGTAGCTCTGTTCTCTCTTCCCTCTTACATCTTGCCGAACACCAATACTCTATGTGATTACCTATAGGTTGTGCGTGTGTAAACACTAGATACTAACCCATGCGTTGCACGGAAGAAAATTCATCAAAATGTATAGCGCGAATTATCAACGCAAGGAATATTAAAGTGGAGATATATGCTTTGTAAGGGAAGCCAACGCACGTTTCTTTGCCATTAGGAGACATACGGGTTAAAGATTTTTATTCCTCTTACGCTTAATTTGACTTGTAGAATTTGTTGTTGTTGCTTTGTTTGATTTTGTATTCACACATTGTACTCAATTTAGACTATTAAATGTATTTTTTTGCATTTCATCAAAAAATAGAAATATCAAGGGAGTTAACCATAAAACCCATTAACAGTAATTAGCGATATGAAACTAACTACTTTCCTTAATGGGGATGCAGAGTAGCTTATGTAGGCTCCTAATCCATTCCTTTTGAGCTCAAAAAAGTCATTTGCTAGATAGCATAACATTGATTAGTCTTCCCCATAAAATTTAGAAATTATTTGGCATGTCCAGTACTTGAAAATCAGGGATGAGGCCAAGCTGCTATCCCTGACTCCTTTGCACATCTTCATTACACTAATGCATCTTGAGATCTCCAAACAAAAACATCAATCTTATTTTTGTTATAACTAAGAGCATGCATGAAAAAATAGTCACATGGGATAGCGGGTGATTTGTTAAAATATTGCCATGTAGATTTGCCACTTGTCGCAATTCTAGAAAGCTTAGTTCTCAAATTTAATATATAAAGATAAAGATAGGATAAAATGTTAGGTGTAGACCACTTGTACATAAGTGACATGCAACAATTAATTATTATTATTATTAGCATTTGTCTATAAGACACTAGTGTACAAATAATATATACTTCCTTCGTTCTAGAGTGTTTGTCTACTTTTAACTTTTTTGGTCAAAATTGGTCAGCTTTGATCTCAAATGAAATAAAAATTTATATTGGATATCGATACAAAAATAGTTTTATTAGATTTATTATATAAAATATTTTTAAAATATTTTTTTCTAATATATATACAATATATTTTTATTTAATTATAGGACAAAAATTAAAAATAATTAATTGAAAAAATTAAAACAGTATAAAAATACTCTAAGATCGGAGGGAGGTTAGTATATACCAAAATTTTGTATACCTTACATAACCCCTATCAATATAAAAAAAATCTAGGATAAAGCTATATGTACCCCAACATTTATACCTCAATTTGTACCCGCAGGTTTGCACTAACATTTTGTTTTGGTGTAAAACTAATTTTTATTAACACACCAACATTTGTGTTTGTGTAAATTTTTGTTAATACACCAGCACTTGTATCGGTGTAAACCATCAACACTTGTGTCGGTGTAAACCATCAAAATGTTTGTGCAAAAGTGTGGTATACAAGTGAGGTACATTTTTTGGTGTAAGTGTATCATGGTCCAAAAATCTAATACTCCCTCCGTCCTAAAACTTTTTTCCCAGAGCACTATTCCAAGTTCACGGGAATTTATATTTTTTTGTGTTTTTATGGCCTATATGATAAAATAAAATATTTTTGTCACCACTTGTTTTATTGAACTTTTGATGTAGTTTTTAAAATTGTATGTTTTATTTTTTATTTCTATACAAATATTTAAATAAAATAGATTAAAAAAAATTTGAGATTTTTCTTCAATTTGCGAACTGAGAGAAAGTTTTAGGAGGTAGGAGTATAACCAGTAAGTTGACCGAATCGCCACCACTTCGACGGTCACAACCCTCGCACAGTCTTCCACAAAAAAAGAAAAAAAGAAGAGAGTTTTTTACTTTTATTCCATACGGAGTCACTCTTAACCAGATACTGGATAGGCCTTCCCTCCTCTTGTCCACCGTCGGGAAAGTCCCTACCTGACGCCGCCGCCGCCGCCCACCTCTCTTCCCAAAAACCCTAGCGGCTCTCTCAAATTGGGAAGTAAAAAATCCGGATATGCAGGTCTCATCAGTTATATTCAACACTAAGCCAGTATTGGCACCTATCCATGTCAAGTCGTTGCGCAGCGATCCATCTCCACCACCATGCTGTTCTTGTCGAGCACTTTCAACCCGCCCCAATTGGGTTCAGCCGAGGAGGAGCATGGCTCTAAGTTCGGGTCGGCATTTCCAGCATCCAGCTCATCACCTTAAAGTAAAGGTAATTTTAGTACAATGATTTTTGTTTCTTATCAGATTGGAATTTATGCAGTAAGTTTGGCGCCACTGTAGTCTGTATCTTGAAATCAATGATGTTCTTTTGTGATTATTTGAATTTTTTTTAACATTTACAAAGGCTGGTGAATTATGCCTAGTTTTGAATAATGATGGATAGAAGGTAAAGATGAGTGAATAGAAGGATGCAATCATTCTGCATAAATTATGTAAAGAATTTAATTGAACATAATCTTCCAACTTCGGTTTGGTATGAATTAAATTTAGCTTACAGCCTTATTGCTCAGCAAGCGTTAACTTTGTTCAGTAAACACTAACAATTGCTATTGGAGGTAAATGAAAAAAATAGTTGAGTTACTTTTTTTGAGTGAAATAGTTTAAATGGATACTTTTAGCTTTGTTTTTTTACGCGGATTATATTTTTTTTAAATTTTTTAAATGTGAATTTTTAAATAGCTGTTTTTAATAATTTAGTAGATTCATCCAAATAATTTATAAGCCATTTCAGCCACAACTTAAGCCATTTCAATAGATTCAGCCACTTCAGCTATTTTGAGCCTTACCAAACAGGCTATAAGATTTTAAATGAGCAGGCATACATGCTTTTATGAGTTTTCATTTTGTGACATCCTTCAACTCCCTCTCTCTCTCTCTCTCTCTCTCTCTCTTTCTCCACACTAATATTTTTTTTCTCTATTGCAGAATCCAGTGCGAGCATATCTATCTCAGCGTGAGGAACTTCCATCTCAAACATGCTATCTGAGTACATGTCAACCTTTATTATGTTTCCCTTACCTGCAAAGGAAGCATATTATTATAAACAGTTTGACAACTAGAGCATTTCGTGATACATCGGCTTGTCATTTGTCAAACCTGAAGCGCAACAATGTAGCTGTAAGTAATCTTGTTGTGAGTTTGAATTAGAGGTCATCTAATGGCACCCACTATCTTAGGTATCCTAAGGATGACTGACATATTCTAGGAAATGGGAAAAAGACTGACGGATGAAAGAGGAAAGTTGGCAAAGTTTTGAGGGACAAGGGTAGAAATTATTTTTCGATAAATCAGTTAGTATGTTGTTTAGTGAGCTTGTATGGCTTGAAAATGGATTACAATTCCGCGACAAGTACACCAAGAACTTGATTCCCCCCCCAAAGATATTGTTCTCGACATCTCAAGGAATATATAAACGTTTTGAACTTCAAAGGATAACTAACAATTTTGTATAAATTTTTTTAGTTATTTTATTTATTACATATTCATGTGGCTTTCCTTTTTAACCTATGTGCTAATGGTACTAGTGGCTTTCTTCTTTAACCCATGTGCTACATTTTGCATAGACTCTAAATGCTCCATAAAAAAACTTGAAAAAAAGGTTCGAAAGAGCAAATACTTCATTTTCTATTTAGGTACTTCAAGTGGAACTATCTTATTGACTAATCTTACTTACAGTTAAAACATTCCTGTGCACTACATGCATCCGCTGGCCCAGATGAGCCACATGCAGCAAGTACTACCTGGCCAGATGGTGTACTAGAAAAACAGTCACTTGAACTGCTGGATCCTGAGGTGGTAACTGCAGAGCTGGAACATTTTTTGAGTTCCGAACTTCCGTCTCACCCAAAATTACATCGAGGACAACTGAGAAATGGACTTCGTTACCTTATTTTACCTAACAAGGTTCCACTAAATAGGTATATCATATTCATTGAGGTTGTAATTAGCACAGGTATTTCATTATTGCTACATAGAGTGTAGAGGTGTTATGGTAGTTGTATATCTGGAAGGGAAAACTTTTAGACATTTGAAAACTATCCTATTTCTTAGGGAAATTGACATGTAATTGCTTATGGTAATATTTTGAGCATCTGACTTTTAGGAAATCATTATACTAATGCAAAATTTAATATATCATTCTTGGATCCATTTTTCATAGTTCCTACACAGGTATCAAGGTGCTCAAATGCCATTAGTTGGCAGGTTACTTATTAGTACAAATCCTGAGAATAGAACTTCTCAAAATAGATTTGAGGTGCTGTAGATGTGTTTTCCCCAGACCATGCAAGATGTGGATCTTGAGCATTGGATTCATCCTTCTCTCCATGTGTTTCCTTCTGCATGAATATCTGTTACTTCAGCTATCTCAGCCCCGCTGTTATCTTTTCAGTGCATCATACTCATGATATTTTGTAGTTCACTGAATTGATTCACTGCACTATCATAAAAATAAATAAACATTCTGTCAAAGTTAATAAGAAGATAAATATAATAGTGTCTTTCATTTTAATGAAATTCTCATAGATTTGAGGCACACATGGAAGTTCATGTGGGATCCATTGATGAGGAAGATGACGAACAAGGAATTGCACACATGATTGAACATGTTGCATTTCTTGGGAGCAAGAAACGAGAGAAACTTCTTGGAACAGGGGCACGCTCGAATGCGTACACGGATTTTCATCATACAGTGTTCCATATTCATTCTCCAACAAGTACAAAGGTTTATATCTCATGCCAACGGGGAAATATTTGTTTAAAGTGTTGTTATTTTCTTCAAAATACGATGGTGATTAATGGAAATTTTCTCTCTAGGACTCTGAAGATGATTTACTACCAGTTGTCTTGGATGCACTCAATGAGGTAAAATCAAATGATTTCTTAGTAATTATTGGTCGGTAAAATGATTATTTTGAAATGGTTAGACATTGTTCTTCCATCGTTAAGTGAACGTCTATTCGTGTTTGTAAAATATAATACTGAAACCAATATTAAAAACATGACTCTTTTTTTGAGATGGTGTGAGTACATTTTTTATTGCTAATAAAATACGCAATGAGGTTTGATATTTTTTTCCAAAACCGCTTGTAGATAGCTTTCTACCCTAAATTTCTTGCTTCACGGGTTGAGAAAGAAAGGCGGGCAATATTGTCTGAATTGCAAATGATGAATACAATTGAGTACCGAGTTGATTGCCAGGTATTATATTAAAGGATATTTCTTAATCTACTCTATGTTGCTCCATCAAGTCATTGTCAAATTGAAATCTGTGTCCTGTTATTGAGTTTACTGCAGTTGTTACAACACTTGCATTCTGAGAACAAGCTGAGTGAAAGATTCCCAATTGGACTTGAAGAACAGATTAAGAAATGGGATGCTGATAAAATCAGAAAATTCCATGAGCGTTGGTATTTTCCGGCAAATGCCACATTGTACATTGTGGGAGACATAGACAACATTTCCAAGACAGTTGGCCATATTGAAGTAGGTCTTCTTCCTCAAGCATGCATTCGATTAGGAATATTTATCCTAAAAAATCTCACCATTTGAGCATATAACTCTGCTCACTTTCATTAGTAACTACATGTATCATGCAGGCTGTTTTTGGGCAGAATGGCATTGAAAATGGTGCTAGTGCTGCATCATCAAGTGCATTTGGTGCAATGGCAAATTTTCTCGTCCCAAAATTCTCAGTTGGTTTGGCTGGAAATACTTCTAATGAAAGGTCTCCTGTCTCTATTGAGCAAACAAAAACTACTAGGAAGGAGAGACATGCAGTTCGGCCTCCTGTACAACATATTTGGTGTCTTCCCGGTAGTAATGATGATGTAAAGCCTCCACAGATATTTCAGCACGAGCTGCTTCAGAACTTCTCTATCAATATGTTTTGTAAGGTATAAAACCGAGTTTTTGGTATGCTTTTCATTTAGTTTTGTTTAGATTGTAAAACCTCCACTCACAATTGTTTATGAGCTAGCATTAGTACTCCCAAATATTTTGGGGGTCAATGCGATCCAAGTCATATTTAATTCTCCTCCTAAGTTCCATCTCCTTGTTATCTAACTTTTTGTAGTGTCTTCCTTTCAGATCCCAGTGAAAAAGGTCCAAACATATGCTGACCTGAGGAATGTGCTGATGAAGAGAATATTTCTTTCTGCTTTGCATTTTCGCATTAACACAAGATACAAGGTACCAGAGATGATTTGAACTACTCTGCACTTTTGTTCCAGATCTGCCATTGAGTATTAAGTTGCAGTTTTGCTTTTATTGGACCGAGCAAATTTGTTTCATTTGGGTCATCTTGCAATTGTGATGGGACATCTGGAAACAGCTGCTCTATGTTTTAAACATAGGGGTCAGATTGCGTACATCCGAGCCCCCTTACCCCACAATGTGTGGGAGCCATTGAGGCACTGGGGTAATGTTGTTGTTGTTTGTTGTCGGGTCATCTTGGAATAATTTGAAGTCACTATTTTGTGAAAAACAGTACTCCCTCCGTCCTATAATGTTTTTCCCGTTTGTGTTTATGAGGTTTGACCGACTTTATTTTCAATTCAATTTATTTGATTGTAGGTGTAAAACTAAAAAATAAGATTTATATATTTAAAAACTACATCAAAAGTTCTACAGAACAAGTGGTGACAAGACTATATTATTTTATCAAATAAATACCTAATGAAAATAGGTAAAAAAGTGATTAAAGTTTGACCGTGTGAAAAGTAACTGGGAAGAACATTTTAGGACGGAGGGAGTAGTATGACTACTGACAAGATTGAATGACCCAGTGATGCAAAGAAAGATAATTAATTATTCTTGTAATCTTTGAGAAGCAGCTTTTTGCATCTTCTTGTATCATGATTTTTGTTTTACAATTTTGGGAAAGAAGTCTTACTCAAAGAGTTAATAGTAATCCAAGCATGGGCACTATGAAATGTCATAAACAATATGTCATAACATGAAATTACATACTTCCTCCATCCCAAAAAAGCTTTCCACTTTCACTTTTCATCCGTCCTAAAAAACACTTTTACTTTCAATCAAAATCTCCCTTTTACCCGTACTAATTATCAACCTACCTATCACATCATATCTATTCACTATTAATAAGTAATTTACCCATCGCATCATATATTACTCTAAAGCAGAGTAATGGCAAAATTGGAAAGCAACGCCAAAATTAAACATTCTTTGAATCCCACTGTTCCCCAAAGTTTAAAAGTTTTATGGGACGGAAGTAGTCTTAGAATACCACAATTTGGATCTCTCTGTTGACTTGTTTTTTTAATAGATGGAGTTTAGTGTATAAATCTGATTACTGCTCTTACTGTATATTTTGTGTCTGCCATTTTATAATTGGGTGAACTTTTCAGAGTTCAAATCCCCCATTTACCTCAGTTGAGCTGGACCATAGTGATTCTGGAAGAGAAGGATGCACTGTGACCACTCTTACAGTAACTTCTGAGCCCAAAAATTGGCAGAGTGCAATTAAAGTTGCCGTGCAGGAGGTTTGTTCTCTTCTTTTAATTTGATACCAGCATTTTTGAAAAAGTCAAACCAAGACACCTGCTTTCTCATTAGATTTGTATTTTTATTTGAAGTATATTAAAGTATAACCCATTTTTCATTATACATCCTAGGCATTTTATAATTTTCTAATGTGAAAGAATTCTTTCATTGGGTGAAATGCAATCCTTATTGTGAGATTGACCTCTATATGCTCTCATATTCACATTATTTTACCCCACAAGGTTCGGAGGCTCAAGGAATTTGGTGTCACAAGAGGTGAATTAACCCGCTATATGGATGCACTACTCAAAGATAGTGAACAGTTAGCAGCTATGATTGATAATGTTTCATCTGTGGATAATCTGGATTTCATTATGGAGAGTGATGCACTCGGCCATACTGTAATGGATCAGAGGCAAGGTCATGAGAGTTTAATTGCTATTGCTGGAACAGTTACTCTGGAGGAGGTAATTTTAATCATCCACAATAAATATCTTGATATTCTAATTTTTTTTCTCCCAAAATTGAGTTTTGTTATTGTTTCTTACAGAAAGTGTCTTTACCATTTTAGTCATTATATGAGTATTCAGTAACACACATTTAGCTCCATGGTAGTCAAACTCTAGATTCTACGTAGGATCGATGGGTCTAATGAAGATCGTAACATCGTAAGATCGTGACTCGGATCGTAAGATCCTACTATATATATATATATATATATATACATATATAAATATAAAATTTTAATAAAACATAACACAAGTTCAAGTTGGATATCAGACTTACCCGTTTATAATCTAAATTACCCTTTTAGAGTATAACCCACACTCCTTATATATAATTAAAAATCAGAGATATATCCTGGGCAAAAATAGAGACTTGGAGGGGACGCGCAGGGCAACAAGCTTTGCCATGTTAGAAGGGAGAAGGCTAGAAGCTACAAAATACTCGAACCGGAAGTCGCGAAATCATCGCAATTCAAATTGGGAGTAGAGAAATAGTCGAAGCGACTAAATCGACAAAATCGAAGCAACAAAATAGGGCTTTTCAAATTTCCGATTCTTTCCTTTTTTAGATCGACGATTTTCTGCGATTGTGCGATTGCACGATCGAGATCGGCGATTCATCCGACCCGAAGGATTCTTGCGATTTTGACTGTGAGTTGGATCGGAACCCTCCTGGCGATCTCCGGAATCGTACAATCGTACGATCCGGATCGCGATTTTGACTACCATGTTTAGCTCCATACTTATTGCTAAATTCCCATATCAGTCTCTTAATAAGTGTAGTGACGAATCATGAATCTGGACCCGATTCTTAAAAAAGTGCTGCAATTGTGAAAATATAAACTTTTTAAAATCTAGAGGTTATAAATCCCAATGTCTTCCATTTTCTAGGAAAGTGGTTTCACTCTTTTATTTATTTAAAATTGAAATCACCAACCGTCTATTTACATCCTATTAAGTATTTTATTTAAATTTCCATTTTATTTGCCATTAAGTTTTAGTTGCAGAGAGACGAGGATTGGGATTGGGGAAACACCAACTTTTCTGGATTTTACAAAGGATTTGGTGTCAACACGTCCCCAAGTACCCTTAACGAGGATAGGAAACAGCAGTTGAAGAATTGGTGCAACATAATGCATTATTATTTTGAATTTAGAATATAAAATCATGTGTAATTATTGGTTTTCCTTAAAAAAACTGTTTGATTTTATGGTGAAATGAATTAGCTTTAGAATTAAAATCAGTGAAAATTTTTACAATAAAGCATTTGCCTGTACTCAATTTGGGTGTCCACATTGCTTTACAGAAAAGGATTCTCATTTGGTTTGAGTACTAAATAAGGGTATAATTCCATTGAGTTTACAAAAAAGGTATGAATACATGGTTTCTGATTTTCAACCATCAAATTCCAAATCTAGAGGTTATGATGCCTGCAATTAATGCCTATTCTGAAATTTGCAAGCATTTTGTTTCAAGTTGTAAACATATTGATCATAAATGGTGGAGTAGTACCCATTGGAAACTCATACTACCTCCGTCCCAGAGTACTTGTCCACTTTCATTTTTACACACCATCCAATACACTTCTTTAATCCATTTTATCTTGTAATTTGTATATTAAAAAATTATAGAAATTATATACTCCCTCCGTCCGGGAAAAAGCTTCCTACTTTGACTTTTCCTCATTTTTAGTGGAGGGTTGAATAAGGAATGAAATGACTAAATTACCCTTAATGAAGTAAATTCCGCTGCACCAGCCATACCACCCCTCCGCTGCACCAGCCCCGCCGTCCCTCCGCTGCCCCAGCCCCACCGGCCCACCAACCCACCGCTATCCCTGACCCACTGCCGCCGCACCAGCGCCTTCGTCGCCCATTCACTGCCTCGGCCTCACCACTACCCCACCGCCCATCGCTGTCCTCCCACCGTCCACAGATCTAACACAGATCTAGAAGAAGAAGAAGGAGGAGGAGGAGGAGGAGAAGGAGAAGGAGATCAGAAGGAGAAAGAGACAGAGACAGAGAAGAAAAAGAAGAAGAAGAAGAAGAAGAAGAAGAAGAAGAAGAAGAAGAAGAAGAAGAAGAAGAAGAAGAAAAAGAAGAAGAAAAAGAAGAAGAAAAGAAGAAGAAGAAGAAGAAGAAGAAGGGGGAACGGGAAGAGAAAGAAAATGGTCAGATCCGACTGAGAAAAGAAAGCGAAGAACTTTGAAAAAGAACGGGGAAGGGAGAGAGAGAGAGTGATGAAGATAAGGCTGGCCGTGGGGAAGGAGAAATGGGCAAGGAGATGGTGAAGGAGAAGGGTATTATTGGAAGAGTGTTGATAAAAACGTAGAATGGGAAGATTATATCCGGACGGAACAAAGAGTAGAGTGGGAAGATTATTTCCGGACGGAGGGAGTATTAATAATCTATATGTTAGGACAAATCAAACAAGATCACACATAATTATATTTAAGCTTACTCATTGAGAGAATTTGATGAGTCAAAGTCCTTAGATGAACAGTTCCAAAAGTCAAAACTGGACGAATACTCCGGGACGGAGGGAGTATATATTTATATTTTATTAGTTTGTAATTCACGAGGTTTTGTTGTAGTGTTGTACTTAATGAAAATTTCACCATTAATTACGTGATCGAATTCCACATTGCTAAGAGTTTACTTCTGGGTTCTGAACGAAATATGGAAAATAACAAAATGGAAAATCATTGTATGGAATCTTTATCTTGACACATATATGGACTCATTGGCTCATTAAATTTGGTGTTATAATGTATTTTATACACTGAGCTTTTGTTCTTTACCCCCTTTTGTTGGGGCAAGAAATACTTCATAGTTCTCGTTTAGTTTGCCAAGAAAATGATACTCGTTTAGTATAAATTCAACTTTTCTTCATGTTATATTCATTTGGTGCGAATTTAAATTCACATCATAATTTTAGAATAAACTTAAAACAGTATCACTTGACCCAAAGATATGTATTCGCTTTCCAACGATATATAGGTTTGGCTGAACTGACTATATCTGTCTTTTAGTGAACCCAGTCTATTTTTCTCTTTGACCCACCACCTGCATGGGTGTGATTGCCTGGGTAGTACGTATGGGCACGTAAGGTTAATGAAGTTATGTGAATGTGATTTATTACATAGAGATACAATATCAACCAACTAAATTTTTCCTTCAAATGAAACAAAAAATTTACTTGGACAACCCAAAAAGGAAAAACAGAACAAATTTTAGGACATGGGAATTACTTACTATAGTTGACCTTTCTCACAATTGAAAAACTATGGGGGAGTATTTTGCCACTTTGGCTGCAAAACAACGAGGGAGCACAGAGCAGTAACTAGTGCCATTCCTAACTCCTTCACACATGACTTATTCACTTGCAATGAAGATTAAGGTATTGCTATTTATGTTTTGAAAGAATCTTCATCCTTGGACATTTTCCTCAGGTTAATTCAACTGGTGCAAAGGTATTGGAATTCATATCTGAATTTGGAAAACCTTCTGCACCCCTTCCTGCTGCAATTGTTGCCTGTGTCCCAAAGAAGGTGCATGTTGATGGAGCAAGAGAAATGGAATTTCAGATAACAGCAGATGAGATAAAAGCTGCTATTCAAGATGGTCTGAATGAGAGCATAGAACATGAGCCAGAGGTATTTATAACAAGAGAACTTTTCTTGTAATATATCTGCAGAATAGTGTAATGTCCAATTAAAACAGTATGTTTGTAACCATGCACTAGTCCCCAACAAGAGTGGAAGAGAAATAATTGTTAGTACAACGGGAAATGAACCAATCTTTTATTTTGCTCATGGTTCATTGATTTCAGTTTTATTAATCAACATGTGCAGCTTGAAGTGCCAAAGGAATTGATCACATCAACACAGCTGCAAGAACTAAAATTGAATTTAAAACCATCCTTTGTAACCATACAACCAGATGAAAATGGCACAAAACTGTATGACAAGGAAACAGGTATCATTCAACGGCGCCTTTCAAATGGAATTCCTGTAAATTACAAGGTATTTGTTTCTTTGTTTTTTGACTTTTTTGTTTTCTTGGGTCAGTGGTTAGCTGTAATCGGTTTCAGGATTTACTGCTTCCAAAAAGTAGGTGAAGTAATTTCAAAAAATCTGATGTTCATTGGATTTTAGTTTATTGACATGGAATCATGCAGGCGCAGATAATTTTTTAGGCTTTACCTGAAAGATTGCATATTATATCTTTTGATAATGACCTTCTTGATCAGTAGTTGCAGTTTCTCATGAAACCTCACTTATCGAAAAGTTTAATGCACAATAGTTTGGACTGCACATTTAATTATAGCATATTGTTGTACAGATATCCAAGAATGAAGCCAATTGTGGAGTTATGAGGCTCATTGTTGGTGGTGGGCGGGCAGCTGAAACTCCAGATGCGAAGGGATCTGTAATTGTGGGTGTGCGGACTCTAAGTGAGGGTGGCCGTGTCGGAAGCTTCTCACGTGAACAGGTGCTGATGAAATTATCAAATTTTTTATTGTACTTTTCGGCACATAACTTTTTTCCTTCCATATCGGTTTGTAGGTTGGGTAATTCATGAATAAGAGTATCTCATTACTTCCTCCGTCCCGCAAAAGTGTTCCACGTTTCACTAGGCACGAAGATTAAGATAAATGAAATTGTTTGGTTGAAACTTGAAAGTGGTGCAGAGGAGAGAAATAATTTGAGCCACAAACATTTTTCCAAAAGTGGAAAGTGGAACCTTTTTTTGGGACAAATGACAAAGGAAACATGGAACTTTTTTGTAGGAAGGATGGATTATCAATTATCATGGCATAATCCCGTTGTCGGCATTGGTAGCGTTGAATAGCTAAATAAATTTATAACAATACAGCTCTTAACCCCGTTGATATGTGGTTGACAAAATCACTATGTTGGACGATCATTCCAACAATACAGCTCTTAACATGTTCTAGATACAGACACACCAGCAGAATTGTATTAGAGAAAACTTTGGCAAAGACACACCACCCTTGGAATAAGGGGATTTGCTCAACCTTGCACAACACACACGTTCACTGAAATTTTGGGGAAAAAATTGGACTACATGATTGTTTCAATGAGCACCTACTAATAGGCATGATTTATTAAGTAATGTTAATTTACCTTGAAGTTTGATGACTCATCTCTTATGGTGAGCTACTCCTGATGGTTTATGCAGGAGTCTTATAAGGATACTGCACTTTTTTTTGTCAAACTTCATATCTTTATGTCTTCCTAAAATTAAATCCCTCACATATTTTTTTTTATCGCAGTGTGAACTGCATCCAAATCTTCTGAATGATGAATATTTTCTAACATTAATATATGTTTCCAGGTGGAACTTTTCTGTGTAAATCATCTGATAAATTGTTCACTGGAATCCACAGAAGAGTTTATCTGCATGGAATTTCGGTTCTCCTTGAGAGATGATGGGATGCGTGCTGCCTTTCAGTTACTTCATATGGTACTTGAGGTAATTGCACTGCAGTCATTCAAAGTTTTCTTGAACCTTTATGTATCAGTTGTCAGCATTGTTCATATGTATGTGAGTGTGTGTTGTTTGAATGTCCTCCTCCCTTACTATGCTGGTATGCTGTTTGAGTGTCCTCCCTTACTAGCATAACGTTACACCCTGCCATTTGATCCAATTTAGGCTTTGGTACTCCACAGGTTAGGGCTTTGAAAAAGAATATTCAATGAAGCTTGAGGCCTTAGTTGTGAATATGTCCATCTTATGTATGTAAAAATATAAATGTGTTAATACCCGATTTCCCACAGTTCGGAAAGTTTGTCTGTTGTAATGACGGCTAGTACAAGTGATTTATCTGCTGCAAGGGCTAGCCAGGGCTTCAAGATAATCAAATTCGGGGTGGGCCTTCAAAAATAATTGCAACAAAAACAATCCAAGTGTAATCCCAACTCCATTGAGGTTAGGAGGGTCAAGAAGTATACCTCTACCAAAAATGAGGTTGTTCAGTTAGACCCTTGACACATTGAGCAATTACATTTCATATAAAGTAAGATGTAATGGAAGTTTAATGTGTCATTACTTGCGGGGTAAACTGAGGCCTGGTAATCCCCTTATGCAACACATAATGTAATCAGTTATAGGTAGTAATAATTTTCAAACTAAATCATTTGCAGCACAGCGTTTGGTTAGATGATGCATTTGATAGAGCACGACAGTTATATTTGTCATATTATCGATCTATTCCAAAAAGTCTGGAACGCGCAACTGCCCATAAGCTCATGCTAGCTATGCTGAATGGAGATGAGCGTTTTGTTGAGCCAACACCTCGTTCATTACAAAGCCTGACTTTAGAAAGTGTAAAGGATGCCGTGATGACTCAGTTCGTTTGTGACAATATGGAGGTTTGTCATGTTATATCTTTGAAGAAAAGTGGTTTACTAGTCTATATGATGTTATATCATTAAAGATCCATTTTGTTTGTCATTTCTCATCTTAATGTTGCTAAATCTATATTTATTAGGTGTCTATTGTTGGAGACTTCTCAGAGGAGGATATTGAGTCATGTATTCTTGATTATCTGGGAACAATTAGAGCAACCCAAGGTTACGAGAGAGCACAGAAATACAACCCGGTCATATTTAATCCATATCCAGACTTGCAGCATCAAGTGAGAAAACATATCTTTAGATAGGATGCTACTGTACTCTTGTGTGTTTTGTTGTCTAACTGTCCCTTGGATGTATAAAGCAGTGTATTGCGCTGTTAACATTTCCACTCGAAGTATTTCATCAACTCTGTTCACTCACTACTCTTCAGGTATTCTTGAAGGACACGGATGAGAGAGCATGTGCTTATATTGCAGGTCCTGCCCCAAACCGTTGGGGATTTACCTTTGATGGGAAGGATCTTTTAGAGTCTTTCAGTAACGCCTCTGCATATGATGGTGAGTTTGCTTGGAATATCACACATTGATGCTTTTGTGCCTATTGTGTGATTTTTGGCAACTGAATCAGCATTCTGAGCCCTGTACAGGGCTAGATGGTAGAGCATGTAGATGTAAGGTCTTAGAGATGATAATAAGTTGTTTTTCAGGTAAGCAACTAAAATACGATGAACAAACCAACAAACAGGACAATGTGGAAAGGGTTCTGCAAGAAAGATTTCACACTCATCCATTGTTTTTTGCCATCACAATGGGTCTATTGGCTGAAGTAATAAACTCCAGGTATTTGTTTCTTATAGAGTTATAGTTGGAGCAGTAGGTCAATTTGGAGTTTGCTCATTTGAACTTTCAAGTTTGTATTAGGTGAGATACTTGTAGAACTATGCATTATTTATTTCTAATGCTTAAAATTATATTGGTATACTTTTTGTTCCGGATGCTGCCAACCAGGTGTCTTGGAAAATCTACTTATATGAATGTCTAGTGTGTGTGCGTGCGCACATTTGTGTTTGTGTTTGTGTGTGTGTGTTAGATCTATGCCTATAACTGTACGTATGTCTGTACCGGTGTACATCGTGTTACCTACTGCTTAACTTGCCTGTAATTTAAGCACATATTGTGCCATGGCTAATCAGAATATAGCTACATGTTTTTCTAGTGAAGACGCCATTTCCCAACTTTTTTTTTCTTATTCACCCACATTTAAAGAAACTAGTGCACACCAAGTATATGATCCTCATCTATTGCATTTTGCATGGTTTTCATGCAGGCTTTTTACAACAGTTAGGGATTCTCTTGGATTAACATATGATGTTTCATTTGAACTAAACCTATTTGATCGCCTGAAGCTTGGGTGGTATGTGATTTCGGTGACATCAACCCCCACCAAGGTATGGATTCAGCAGTTTTAAAATTATAGATTTTGTTACCCATTTATTTACCCACTTGTTTAGGATGTGTTTTGTGCTTTTATAGGTTCACAGAGCAGTTGATGCTTGCAAAAATGTCCTCCGAGGTCTGCATAGCAATATGATTACACCGAGGGAGCTAGACAGGGTTAGTTTGCTCATAAGATTTCTCTAGGTGTTAGGTTGTGCATCTAAGACAGATGTTTGCGAAGCAGTTTCTCTTTTTGGTATTAATGGTGATGCTGTTTATAAAAAGTTATCAGAGTTGCTTACTGTAGTAAGAAATATTAATACCCTGTACTCTGTAGTCCTGCACTAGTTCAGTGCTTTCTTTCTACAATGCTTTTGTTATAATGAGAAAGTTATTGTTGTTGAGGCATTTCATAATGTTGAAATTGCATCTCTCAGGCAAGGCGAACTTTGCTCATGAGACATGAAGCTGAGACAAAATCAAATGCATATTGGCTTGGGTTATTAGCTCATCTGCAAGCTACATTGGTACCCAGGAAGGTGAAAAAACACATCTTTGTTTATATGTACTTCACTTTCATTTGCTTATTTATGTAATGTGAAATTTAGGTGGTGGCAGGTCATCACTTTTATAGCTTTTTTTGCTGCACTCCAGAGATATTTTATATTTTTTCCCACCTCTTTTCTCAGGACATCTCGTGCATTACAGAGCTGACTTCACTGTATGAAGCTGCCACGATTGAAGACATATATGTTGCCTATGAACAGTTGAAGATAGATGAAGGTTCCTTGTTCTCTTGCATTGGAATTGCTGGAGGGAATGCTGGGGAAGACAATTCGGGTAAACTGATAGGATGTACTCCACTGTAACTTGATGCTTATGCTGCTATATGTGAGACTCATTTTTTACTTTAACAATGTTGTTATATTGTCAACAGCATCGCGATTCAATAATTTTAATCCAACTTTCTTACCACACCCCCACCCGAATCTGTGTTTTTCAGCTTATGATAGTGTATCTAATGAGTATGTGAAATGCATTGAAATTCTCATAAAATTTTAAAAGAGGAGGAATTTTTTGTTTACAAAAAGAAACTCATTTTTAAGATGCACTATTACTAGGGCTGTTTAAGTTTAGGCCTGGACCGGAAAAACCGACTAAACTGGACCGTTAGGTCCAGACCAAACCCGGACCGAGTAGATTTAGGGCTGGTCTTTGGTCTATGATTTTTAAAGTTTTGGGTATCGGTCCGGTCCAGACCCAGAATAATATAGGTCCAGACTGAAAGGACTGATTGCAAAACTCTTAATATTCAGTAGTCCTTCCTGTGACTTATCGCCATTCATAACTATAGTTCTATAAATCTCCAGTGCTCTAATTTCTTCCTCGGTCTTTCGTCTCAATTCGACTTTCACCACCTCTTCTGATCCACTATCTCAGACTCTCACAATCACAAATTCACCACCTCCAATTCATCACTCCATGTTCTTCTCTCCCGTTTCTTACTCCATCATCCCCATCTGCACTCTGCTACTGTGCTACACCATGTCATGGACACCAGTCATGCAAGAAGGGCTAAGGCTCAGCCCTGATCCATTCACGATCACACCATTCAGGTAGCAAGTATATTTTTTCTACATAATCAATTTTCTTTTTTATATTGATTCTTCATTTTTTGTGCCTGTTTGGTTTTTGTGATGGCTTTGGTCTTGGTAAGGTCTTTAGGAATTATAACTCTGGTGTTGGCTTTGGTTTTGTTTTTGGGTTTTGTGTTTGGTGTCGCCGTGTCGGCTACTCGCCTCCTTGAATTTGGGATTTTTTTGTTTTTCAAATGTAGATGGATGCAGGGATTTCTTGCAGATGCATATTACCGGACTTTTTTTTTGGTCTATTCTGTCACTATAGGTTTTTTTTTGGTCTATTCTGTCACTATAGGTTCGGTCCAATCCTTATCGGTTTGGTCTAAAACCGATTAATAATAGGTTTGATCTTTGGTCCGGTCCGGATTTGGACCGATACCCACCCCTAAATATGACAATGGAATTTGTATTGGTTTTCCCCATTTACTGTTTACTACTTATTCCGTATTGTGTCTATATTTATTTCAATCCATGGTAATTAGTTGCGAGTATTAGTAATCATGCCACTCAGTTTTCTATTTTATGCTGACTTCTGTTACTCATATCCTGTTTATAGTTCCTATAGAACAGGAAGACTCAACTGATTGCATTTTGAATGCTATTCCAATGGGACGTAGTTCGTCTACAATGACACGGCCTACAATATAGAAATCAGTTGATTGAAAGAAACAAGGTATGTTTCTTAGATGATTTGATATTCTTGTCATATATATTGGACATAGTTCTAGCAAGTGCCTATTTAGTATGGAAAAACAATTGTTTGTCAGATTTGACTTAATGAGGTCAAAATTCACAAACTATGGACATGACATTAATTAAGATTACATTGGATAATAAGATGAAAATGGTTTCATAAGCTGCCTTGCAATTGTTTTATTGTAATGTTTTGTTATTTTCAAATGTATTATGTTAGATACAAATAGTCAAACACTCACATAGAAGACTATTAAAAGTCAATTGACAAACACATTAGGACAGAGGAAGTATCTATAGTAGTCCAAGGGCCTGTTCATATGCCGCTATCTAATTGAAGAACATGTTTTCTTCAATGGCATGTTTGGAAACTTAAATTTGGATTTCAAGTTCAGATTTGGCCCAAATTGCATCTTTGGAAATCTAAAAAAACTAGAATTGTGCCAAATTGATCGTATTTTTAAAAAAGCTAAATTACAAATCCATACACTCGTAATTTGAAATTTAAGAATTCAAATTTTAGAATTGAAATCCAAGAATTCAAATGAATTCCTAGTTTCCTAACACTACAAATATTTTGTTCTTGGTTTATGTAAAAAAGGGAAAATTTTCTGCTTGATAAACATCTCTCCATCACGTTCTTCCCAACGAAGCCAACCTAATCTTTGTAGTGAAAGCTCCTAAAACACCAAGAGCATACCCTTGTATAGCTATTCCTAGCATTTATGCACAATGAAATGACTGCAACTTTCACACACCTTTCCAACTGATATTATTGGTTCCTAATGTTTTATCATAACAGGAAGACTAGTAGTGAGTGCTACATGTGATTACTAATCGAAGGGGTGCAGGTTGATTTTTGGTGTTTAATGGACAAAAGCATAGGGACAGCTATTTTTGGTACAATTTTCATACAAATCCAGATTGCTGCGTGTCTTAAATCCCCCAAATATGATCCCCATAGATCGCTAAATTGTGAGGCAAACTTTCTGTTATGTTTGCCTTGGTGATTCTCTCCTGTGTTGTATTCTGCAGGCAACTTTTGAGTGCGTATATATATATATACACATATATTCATCCATACATCATAATGTATAATGTATGAATATTCCTCTACTGCTTTCTTTCATTGAAGAATTGTGTACATATGATGTAAAAACAGAATGCGTGCGTATTTCTGTATGTCTGTACCGTTTGTGAGATTCTGGTAACCAGTTATCCACCACAATGAAAAAAGTTCATATTGACTTATGTAAAAACAGAATGCTTGTGTATGTCTGGTAACATTTGTGAGATTTTGGAAGACAGGTTTCCACCGTAATGAAAAAAAGTTCATATTGGCTAGAACTTAGGTGCACTGTATGTGTTCATCGTGTTTGTAGACTGCCTTTAGCATTTATTTCCTCTATCATTTTTGTTGTTTATCATCATCACCCGCGGCCAATGCTTGGTCCATGACCCAAGGGGGCTTCATATCCAAGCTCAAAGACGGAAAGAGGTCAGAGGACGCAGCTCAGTTCAATAGGGATGTGTTTGGAAACATCTTTCGCAAGAAACCGTGCCCGAAGGCCAGTTGATTGCAAGATTGTCTCCAAGAGGGGTTTTATGGCCATGCGTCAATGAGGTTGGAATTTGAGTGAGCAAGTATTGAACCGAAGTTGAAAATTCTTGAAAAAATTGAAAAACCGAATTGAAAACTATCGAACCGAATAAATACTGCTAAGATACCAAACAGTAGCAAACCCAATGTTCGGTCTGGTATTTGGGAATGGTACGAGGTAACTTCCCATATCGAAAATTTTGATTCGAATATATACACTAATATATTATAAATATAATAATCTTTTAATATTGTTTCATAGAATAATAAGTTAATTTTAAAAATTTGGCTCAAATTTTATTATGTGTAAGTGTATTTTTATTTGAGTTTTAATTTTTTAGTAACACACATTTGAAATATTATTTTGTTATCAACGGTTCATTGTTGTTTGTGAGATATAAACTAAGTTTAATAAGCACTTTTTGTATTCAATTTTTCATGTCTTGTTTTTTTATGTTTCTTGTTTAAATATACTTTCGATATAAAAAATAAATATTTTTGTGACATTTTAAAGTTCAAATAAGGTGCGTATGTTTTCATCTCGATTTATTCCGAAACCAATACCGATCCATATATAATTGAAATTTTGGTATCGGAATCGGTATGATGTTAACTCCAATACTGAACTAATATATTTGGTACGATATCAGTACAACTAAATACACCTAAATACTGTATCTTTTTCACCCATAGCTGGAATAGTGATTGAGGCTAGTGATGAGCAATAAGATTAGTACCGAAAAGATAAATAAGAATAGATAGAAATTAAATATGTTAAACTCGAATGGTCTAGGACTCGCAGTCTCATTTGGTCCTTAATATTTCATGAAAGACTAGATCGATCTCCAATCCCTTTTCGAAAGAATAGACTATGACTAAACTAGGACTAGAGATTTAAAGTATTTGAATTATATTATATATACAAAAATTTAATTTTTGTATAAATACTTTATCCTACAATTATAGAGCATAGTACAAAAGAGAATCGTATGTATGTGTGTGTGTAATGGAATGTAATGTAAGGTATGTATGTATGTACGTACGTATGTATGGATGTATGTATGCATGCATGCATGCATGCATGTATGTATGTATGTATGTATGTATGTATGTATGTATGTATGTATGTATGTATGTATGTATGTATGTATGTCTGTGTGTGTGTGTGTGTGCGCGCACGTGCGTGCGTGCGTGCGTGGGTGTGTGTGTGTGTGCGCGCGCCCCTAGGGGTTAACACGGTACGGTTTGGTATATGAGTAGGCAAAACTTCACTGGAAAGCAATGGTAGAATGGTTAGCATTATTTAGAATGACAAAACTCGATTGTAGTTTTCTTAGGAGTTCCTGAACATTTTTTAGAACAAAATAGATAAGTAGAAAAGTAGTGTCTATTCCCATCCAATCGAGTGTCCTGCCATACAATTTCAAGGGAAAATATTGAAGGAGGTAACCCCACCTGGCTAAAAGGGGTCCCCAAGACACCCCACTGTAGGGGTCCAAAAGACAACTTGTGAGCACCAGACCTGGCACTCATCTCTACCAAACTGAATTGGCACCACATATTCAACCAAGGATGAACCCAAGCAGATAGGGAGACAAGGAGACAATAACAAGAAAGCCCATGAGGATAATGTCGTACTCGACTAAGGAATATGCAACCCAATAACATGGGCGTATTGAGACATGGGTTCACTTCCATAGCAACATGGCCATATTGGATAAGATTCCATGTACTAGCGACATAGACTAAACGCATCTCTACCAAACTGAATTGGCACCTGATATTCAACCAAGGATGAACCCAAGCAGATAGGGAGATAAGGAGACAATAACAAGAAAGCCCATGAGGATAATGTCGTACTCGACTAGGGAATATGCAACCCAATAACATGGGCGTATTGAGACATGGGTTCACTTTCATAGCAACATGGCCATATTGGATAAGATTCCATGTACTAGCGACATAGACTAAACGCAAAAGGAGTGTCAATCATGGTCTACTACTGCTGTAATTAATACTTTGATGTTCGTATAAATACCTCTCTTCCTTTGCTTGAAAAGGGATCCCAAGATCATGCTAATAATACTCCTATATTGTACTCTCTCTTGATCTTTAATTCTCTCATACCCGACCCCTCGATCGGCCTACTCGGTAGTTTAAGTCCATCAAATTTGTGTTCTCATTGAGAGCTAAGAGATATATTCATAGGTTAACCCCCATTTACGAGAATGGTGAAGAAAAGGAGCAACGACCATAACACCACTTCCAACCCTAAGAACGGAGAGGGGGTAGTAAGACATATGGCAACCATACAAAGGAAATCATCCCAGCCCAGCAGCCCCATAGGCGGTCCAAGCCTTGTTTGGATTGGGTGTGACCTCGTAGCAACTCAAAGCAACCGTAGTCACTCTAGTCTTGAATCAACAGTCTCATTTGGTCATAGATATTTTATGAAAGACTAGATCAGTCTCGGATTGAGTGATCTTTTCTCGAAAACTAAACTGTGACCATACTAGGACTAGGGATGTAATCCATTTGAAATATAACTCTTATAATATCTATTTATACTTTAAAATTTAAGTTTTGTATGAATGTAACACCCCAACACCCGTGTAACTTGAAAAAATAGGTTGGCAAATAAATAGTCATTAAAATAGTCAAACCATAATTATTTTAAATTGGTCTGGATCCGTACATCCTCTAATGTCTTGTTACTCTCCAAGAGTGCACTAACTAAATACATGCGTGCAGTCAAAGACAAGCAAAGATAACACGCTTAGCTGAATGTTGAGTGATAATTTATCTATGCTTGAATCAACTTACAAAATAATACCACAAAAACATACAATCACACAACATCATGCGATTAGATCACATTATTATATCACTTCATTATCAGTCAAAAGTCATTTTTAACATATTCATCTATTCACTGCTCTTAACCTACCCATGACGGTTAAGACTCAATACAACAGACTAGAGTTATGGACTTTGAACATGATCCCTCGAGGCCAATGCTCAAAATCCAAATAAGATCTCCAATGTGCGGGTTGGATCCCCTAAATAGGTGATCACTAGGTAGGTTGCAAAATCCCGTATATACGCTTTTAACCCAAGGCCTTTGAGTATGTGAACACACCCCCATAAGACTTAATTCCTAGACCATGTCTTATTGGTTTCTCCAACACTCAAGCTAGTTCAGTTCACATTTTCCTAAATATACTAGATGGCCTATTACTCAATCATAGCTCATCATTCACAATATATCAACAATAAGCTCAATCACAATCATATCATAATTTATGCAAAATCAATTATATCAAACATCAACCTACCGGGGGACTAAAGACCCTCTGGTTACCATCATGCACCAAACATAACAATTCAAGTGGTTACAAAATGGTTTGGACTAAAATGAAAAACATGTGTCACAATAAAGGTAGTGACCTACTGGTGGTCCCAAAGTGGTGAGATACAAAATCTAGAGGGGGGGGGGGTGAATAGACTTTGTTACAAATTTAAAACTTTTTCGTTTCTTTTGAAAACATGAAAATGAGTGTTAATCTAGAGTTCTTGTGAACTTTAGATTGTGTGCAGAATTTGGTGGGTAGAGTGAGCAGTAATCAATATGGATGAGTTAGTTTTCACAGTTAATATAATTGCAAGTTAGAATAAAGATAAAAGAGAGAGACAGGCAAACTTTAACGAGGTTCGAAGGTGGGGTAATCCTTCTACGTCCTCAAAATCCACAATGTAGTTGGTTGTTGAATAATGAACCAACAATTACACTTGTGTGAATTTCTGCACGGTATATCTTCGCAAGGCCAATGTTGCTACTGCACTCGTGCTGGCTTTGTTGTTCCTTCGAAGGTCACGCTTCTTCAACAACTGCAAGGTCCGAACAATAGGACTTGCAAGACCAACTTGTAATAAAGTTGACCTACCCCCTTTCAATCAATAAGTTTGATCAAAAGTTGTATCCTTCAATGTGGTGTGGTACTTGAGGCAAGGAAACCTTCAAGTATTTACACTATAGCTCTTTGGAAGGAGGAGAAGTTTGCTTCTGGATAAGGAGTTTAGAATTCTCTCTTTATCAAGCTTTTTGAGCTAACTGTGAATGAGGTAGCTTTGTTGTGGTTGTTTATCTTATCGTTGTCGTTCTTCTTTTCTCCAGTCTTCCAAGGATGCTATTTATAGCTGGATTGGATAATCTATCCGTTGAACCAAAATAGACTATCCGTTGCATTTGCTGGCTTCAATTTTGAATGAAGATTGTGATTTGAAGATTCCTCATTGGAATGGGTGTTTGGACATACCCAATTGTTTAAGGAGGGATTCCTTTTTCCATAGAATCCGTCTTCTAGTTGTTGTTCAAAAATTCTGGACTGTAGCACTTTACTCTGTTTGTCTTCTAGTTCTTGTTTAGGAATTCTGGACAGGCTCTTCAATTTTTAGAGGTCCAGACTTTGTCTTCGAGTCATTTGTTCTTGAATCAGCATAATTATCTTCAATCTAGCCGTTGAAAATCAAGAGATTGATTTTTCCTTACCAACGGGTAGAATTTCTTAATTCAAGACTTAGATAATTTTCTAAGTCTTTTCTCTCTTGTCCGCTTTTTGAGAATTCCGGTCTTTCTTGAGGCATCCGGTTCTTAGCTGACAAATCCGGAAGAGTCATACTCAGTCTTCCGGGTGAGAAAGAAATCCGCGCTAGTCTTCCGACTTAGCCTTCAGCGGGTT